AGGCAAGATGAACTGTAAAGTAACTATTGCATGATAATGTGAAAACTTAATAGAGAGAAATTAAGTTTGGTACAATGATTCTCACAGTTGAAACACAACATCACAAGGCAATATTTGCACAGGAAGGCTAGGGCATAGTCATAATGGACAGGGGTATTTTTGATATATTACTGTCTAATTGACAATGTAGGGGATAGCTCAGAAAGTATTACAAATGGTACAAGAAATTAAAAATAGTGAGTCTGTCCTACAGATCACCAGAGAGAGGGCTGATCTGAAATCACACAAAAAATTACCACAGTGCAGCCAAGTAGCCTGTCTGTGTGGGGAGCAAGTTGGATAGAAGAAGGAGAGAGGAGTGAAGGCTATGAAGAGGGCCATATGGTATTGTATAGCATTAGCAGAATTTGGTACTTATGCGCAACAGCAGATATTAGAACATGGTTAAGAAAAGGCAGAAGGATGAGAATTGGAAACTCATCGTGTATCTGGGCCTAAGTTCTATGCTGCTAGAACCTGTGCCTCAGCAGAATTTACTGCTGTAACCAGGGCATTGGTCATTCAAAATGCTCTTAGCCATATCTTGTGTGGCTACTGTATGATGCCAAAGACTAGACAGAATTGTACCAGTACTGTACATGGAAAATATTTACTCAAGCACCTGGTGTCTGTAGATACTCACAGCCATAGGCACAAGAGAATGATTATCATGTCCACACCATTTAAAATTTGTGTAGAACTTTAGTAAATTAAATCCTGGAAGCCAACATCTACAAAATGGTGCAATCAAAGACAAATTCTACCAAATATCTCACATACACTTAAGCCTCTTTTTTCATGCAAGTATAAGTGTGTTCATCAGGTAGCACTGGGGGACGAAGGCTAAAATCAGAAAGGTAATTGGTTTCCTCTTCATAATATACATTCTTCTTTCAAACTAGTTCAGAAACAGCGGATCATGTGACATAACACTTCAGTGTTATATTCTGTTACAAAGAAGCTGTTTCTGATTATATTGTGTTGTACGAGCAGACTAAATAATAGAAGGACACCACAAGTTTCTAAAATAAGTTAATTATAAATATTGTCATGAATTATGCCTTCCAATTTTGGTGGTTTTACAATAATGATTTTAAAATATTACAACCCCGCACCCCCGCCCTCCCCCTTTTGCTTTGCAGAGTAGACTAATTGCTTATACAGTGGAAACAATGAAACTGATGATATACAAACTGTTGTCAAAATGTACAGACTAGAAAAGAGACAAAAGTTATTTTGCTTTAATCTCTTTAGGGTAGTAATATAATGTGTTACATGTAACAATACATGTATATATGGAAGAGGTGCAATTTCTTCAATTGTGTGATCTTTACATCTGTGTACCACTAAGTTACAGAAGGTTTTGAAAAATTGTCCAATTTTTTTGAATTCACATATTTTACACCACTGAGCACAACCGGCATGCTACATGCAGCTCAGCTTGGTGTTTCTTGTGGTCAATGATCAGCCCATTTTCCTGGGCGCTAAATACCAAAAGCACTTTAATAGGCTTTAGAAGATAAGGTACTACCATCCTTTTTCAGCGGCTATAACAAAATCTTATCAATTCAAATATGGATTGTACACTTCAAAGCTACAAAGTATTTTTTTTAGAAAGCATCCTCCAAACATCGCTCTAACTGCAGCATATTAGCCCCCAAACCTGGAGATTTACTGGCTGAAAAAGCTGTAGAATTTTGGGTGTTTAACTTGAAATAAGTAATTGAAAGAGAAATCTGCCTCCCTGGTAACTCCTTCCTAACAGAAGTGAAGTCTGCCACTCACTGCATAGCAGAGGCTGACAAAAAAGCCAACAGATGCCGTGAGAGTACAGAGTGGAGCCTTGTCTTCAACCCAGCACCTTAGAGTCTTCCTTCACATTGAAATCAACCTAGCCCAGGAGCAGAGATATCCTCTTTATCTAATCATGGCCTGGTGTATGGAGTGACAATGAATGAGATGTTTGAGTAAGGAGATGGAGAATGGAGAAACTAAGAGAGGGAAACTAAGCATTTTATTGGTTTTAGGATAGAAGGAAAGAGAGAAAAAGGGGCATGAAAGAAGAACAGTGGCAGATAAAGAGAGAGAAAAGGTAGTAACAGCTAAAAAAAATCAAGATTGTTATATTTTGTTTTATTTACGCCAGATAAAACATTATGGGAGACATTACAGCAACTCAGATAAAGTTGTGTAAATATTCTTGCAATGTAATGTCCCTGGGTGGGTCATTGGCAGCGGGGATCAAACCTGTGACCTTTGGACCTGAAACAATGAGCCTCTGTTGTCTGCACTGAAAGAGCCACCTCTCTTAGGTAAAGTTATAGCAGGCTTATCAACCTCAGCCACCAATGGAGGGAGACAAAGCACCACAGAATAGTCCTCTCCTTTTTCCCAGTTTTATACTTTTTATTATAACAACCTATGTTCCCCCCCCCCTTTTTTTTTTACAACTGCACATTTTTAGATGTATATTTCTCTATTTCACTGAGGATGTAAAAGTTTGATTGAATTATATATTTATGTAAAGTTATGCAAGAAACCCAAAAGACAAAGGCTTATGGATGATCAATAAACCAGGCCACATGAGAGAAAATAAAGCCAGTAATAAACTTCCACACTGTACTTATTTGCTCATATTTGAAGCTCTTAATGTAATTTTCAAAGTAATATATCTTTAGCACCCAATGTTCCACTTATGACTAAGTGATATGCAAAGAAAGTGAAATATTTTATTGAAAAAGATTCTTACCTGTAAAATATCACCAGTTTGGAAAGTGAAAGGTTTTGAAATTAAATGACCTTTATTTGGCATAAGTATCTGAATTCTAGCAAAATCACCTTCCCTAATAAATGTGCAACACTTGATAGGAAAGAGAATTCTATGAATATTTACAGGAACTAATTGAATATGAAACACTGGTGTTAAGAACAGGATGTGGAATTTGATGCCTTACGGATGTCTTTCTAAACTTCTGGTTACAGTTCTTCCATATCTGTGATATTTAGTTCTCTCTTGATTTTAAAAATGTATGGGGAACAAAAGGGCTTTGATTTTTTTTTGGTGGGGTGAGGGGTGGATTTGTCTGTCTCCAGCATCAGTAGTTTCTCCTTTCATAATAAGCTTTATTTTTTATGAAATGCATGATAACTGACTCAAAGCCATACACCATTAGTATATTTCAGAAACCAAAGAGGATGGTGATTTTAATGTATTTCATATAAATAAGTGAAGCTATAGTTGACATGGGCCAAATTGCAACACTCTCTCCACCTGTCTTTACACTGGTCAGCAGTTATTCACATGAACAGTTGCACTGACTTCAATGGGAGTACTCTAGTTAGTAACTGCTCAACAGTACGAGTAAGAAGATCACAGTCTGGGCCCAAAGTAGAAAAGGTACAACGTTAACACAGGCGATTTCTTCAGGGCCAGACTGTAATACTCTTACTCCACTAACTAGCACCTTGCTCCACTAAGTAGCCCTACTGACTGCAGTGGGACTGCTCATGGTGTGAAATAGTATAGAACTGGTAGCAAGCACCTATCACAATCTGGCCCAATAAGAGCACTGAAAGATGAACAAATACAGAATGGGGAGGAAGAGATATTAAAGACATGCAGTCTGAGGCTAGAAGGGACACCAGGCCATCTATTCTGACCTCCTGTATATTACAGGCACCAACACTACACCCAGCATCTGCACACTAAACCCAACAACTGAAATTAGATTGCTGTCCACTGATGCTGGTGTCTGATGGAAGAGGCTACTATTTGCTACACCCTTGGACAGGTGGCTGCTTAGCCACATATGCCGTTGCCACAGTGAACTGTTTCAGGGACTGCCAAGGGAAACTAGGTGTCGGGAGAGGAGGTGAAAGGAGGCCACAATAGGCAGACAGATGGGGTTGCAGAAGCTTGCTACAGGGAGCGTGGAGATCTGATAGCTTTCCACTACCCCATTGCTCCTCTGCTCTCCCCTCTCAGAGGCTTTTCACTTATTCTTTCCCATATAGCCCAGTCAGAGACAGTGACTCCCCGACAGTATCTGCAGTTCATGCCAGAGGCCTTGGGCTTGTAAGGCTGTTAGGGTAGAACGTATATCCTTGGCCATAGGTCATACTGTCTACTTTAGGTTTTTCTAAGGCACCTATTACCTTGGTATGTAAGCAATGCATACATTTCCTGCTTTTTGAGAGCTTGTGTTTAGATAAAAAGAACAGGAGTACTTGTGGCACCTTAGAGACTAACAAATTTATTAGAGCATAAGCTTTCGTGGGCTACAGCTCACTTCATCAAATTCATAGAATGGAACATATATATATATATACAGATAAGTTGGAAGTTACCATACAAACTGTGAGAGGCTAATTAGTTAAGATGCACTATTATCAGCAGGAGAAAAAAACTTTTGTAGTGATAATCAAGTTGGCCCATTTAGACAGTTGACAAGAAGGTGTGAGGATACTTAACTTAAGGAAATAGATTCAATATGTGTAATGACCCAGCCACTCCCAGTCTCTAGTCAAACCCAAGTTAATGGTATCTAGTTTGCATATTAATTCAAGCTCAGCAGTTTCTCATTGGAGTCTGTTTTTGAAGCTTTTCTGTGGCAAAATTGCCACCCTTAAATCTTTTACTGAGTGGCCAGAGCAGTTGAAGTGTTCTCCTACTAGTTTTTGAACGTTATGGTTCCTGATGTCAGATTTGTGTCCATTTATTTGCATAGAGACTGTCCATTTTGGCCAATGTACATGGCAATTGCTGGCAAGTACAGAGAATCTTCAGCTTCTGTCATAATGGTATCATAATTCAATTTAAAAACATAATACAAATGTTCTTTAACACTACAGGGGCACATTATAATTGGATGAAAGTTAGAGGAGTTAAAGGCAATAATTTGAATAAAAGTGGTGGTATTTCTTATTTATCCAAACATATTTTTCAGTCAATCAGGACTTACCATATTGATTGGATCAACTGGGCCAATGCTGTTAACATAGACATCTGTTTCAATTACCGTAGTTCTCACTAAACAAAAGAGCAACCATAATAATTACATATGTAATCAACTCTATATACTGTATGCTGTTAATGTAACTTATTTATTAAAATAAGAATAAAAGTGATCCCTTTATCAAATACAGAAGGAGTAGTCATTGCATAAGATTGGCTTTTGATCACTGTGCACAGAATCACATGGAACATAACTCCCCTTTTTCATTGTCATTAAATTTCAGTCATCAACATGAATCTTTGTTTCACACTGGAAAACGTACCTTTGTCTGATACGTTTCGTGACTATATGAAGCAGTGATGGAAAAGGTCAGGTAGAGGAAGAAATTAAAAAGATTCATCCTCCAAAATAAAATTTGAATCATAAACAGAAAGAAGAAAATGTTTGGAAAAATCATGTGTAATTTGTCAATTCTTATTGAAGATGTGTAGGAAAAATAAACTGGCTTTTAGCCAGGTTTCTTCAACCTATGTAATTACATTCCAACGAAAGCATACCTGAAGATGCATTAATAATCCTTATCAACTAGATCAATATGTCACTTCACAGACGAAATTTAGAACTCTTAAAATATTTAACATTTCAATGACTTTCATTTCTTAATACAAAGAAGACAGTCTAAAGTGTTCAGCAAAAACTAGCTTCTTTCAAGAGATCATCTTCTAACAGAGGAAGGATAGAATTGCATTCAGTTTATTTGGATAGTTTCTTAAAATACCTGGCTATCTTATAAAGGTGTGCTGTCGTATAGGTGTCACAGGATATGCAGGTTTCAGAGTAACAGCCGTGTTAGTCTGTATTCGCAAAAAGAAAAGGAGGACTTGTGGCACCTTAGAGACTAACCAATTTATTTGAGCATAAGCTTTTGTGAGCTACAGCTCACTTCATCGGATGCATACTGTGGAAACTGCAGAAGACATTATATACACAGAGACCATGAACTTCCCCCAGCTAATTTATAGGATGGGAATTTGAGAGTGAGAGAGGCCAGGACTCAGCAATAGAAATATTTGTTTTTAAAAACATTGTAACTATGAATTTTTGCTTTTTCCACCTCATATTGCAGAGTGGGTGAAGTTATACATGAAGGGAAAAGGACATGTCATGCAGCACCTCACAACAGGGCAGTAAGTGTTAAGAATTAAGGTCCTGTAGCCTCATTGTCCCTAGCCAAGAGGACTGGGCAATATAAAAATGTGGTGGGAGTGGGCTGGAAGATTTTTAAAGTGAAGCCCCTTTGTCCCTCTGCTGATTTATGGGGGAAAAGGAGGAAGAGCCACAAGGAAAGTATTTAATATAGAATTCATTTTTCCACTTTCTCATTGATCCAAGTGGAGTTCTATTTTCTCAGTTCCAAAGAACATTTGAGGTCATGTGACATGGCTGTATGGAGGTGATGAAGGGTTGCTGAGATACTGCGGGCACACTTGTGGTCTCTAGAATGGGCCTCTCCTAGTTTGAGAGAGATCCATGAGATCACTAATTGTTCCTCAGCCTCAAGGGCCTCATGTGAGGTGCCACACGGTTCCATCTGCCTACCTCCTCCAGTTCAACGTGTTCAGAATGCTGTTAAATGGGCCAGGAGACATGAGGTGAAATCCTGGCTCCACTGAAATAACTGGCAAAGATCCCATTTCAGCGGATCCAGCAAAATAGATAACCTAATCTCAGAATGAGATCAGAGTTTAGATGACATCAGGCTGCAGAGTACCCAAGTCAGACAAGACAGAAGTAAAGTTGGCAGGCTAGGGAAAACGTCACAAAGAATCTAAAACATCTAAGAATTAGTGAACACTGTAACAGCTTCTGACTGGGGGAGTATGGCCCCCTTTCATACTGCAGGTTTGCATTTTGAGGGTCCTTGTGAATCTCATGCATGGCCATTTAGTAGCTGGACCCTGTGTCTACGAGTGTCACTTTTTCTTTTGGATTTAGGCAGTGCCTGTATAGTACAGGTAAAAAATAGGGGTGGAGGGAACAGGGACAAGGGCGGGGGGGATGAAAACAGTGAACATTTTTACTTTTTCTCTTGTATTTCACATTGGAAATTCTGAAAATATCAACCATCTCAATCCATGTTTTTGTCACTTTGAGAACGGACCATACAGGGTGTGATGTTGCACTCCATATGTTTTATAGAAATATGCTTATGGTTGTGAATATGAGGTAACTGCAATTTGCTTTATGCAAAAAGTCTCTTGTAACATACCATAACAAAGGTTATAACCTACTGAATATATTCCTCCTATTTGTATGCATGTATCATTCTTGTATCTGAAGCTAGAAATAAAAAGTATAACACTGAGGTCCTATTGTAATTATGCAACGTGTTGGCCATTAATGGTGGCTCAGAATCTTGATGGCTCCCATTGACTAGGACAATTCATTGTAAATGGTTTATTTACCTGCAAACCTTCCTGAGTTCATGTGAGCCAACCCAGGAAGAATGGAGACTAGGGATCTTACAGTGACATGTGACCATGTCACAAGATACTGGAATCCATCTTAATCCTTGTATTTTTCCATTGATGAGACGGGGTTGGGGACAAGCACAGACAAAAGATTCCTGCCTTGTGCCAAAGCTATAAAAGGAGGTGGAGCAGGACAAAGGGGGTTGCCAGTCATGAGAAAAACCCTGGTTACCAAGGACTGTACCAGGGTGAAGGATTGGGCCCAGACTAGGAAGGAGTCTAGTCTGTGAAAAAAGCTTACTAGAACATCTCTGAGGGTGAGATATTACTTGTAATCAGTTTCTTAATGTATTAGGCTTAGACTTGCGTCTTTTGTTTTATTTTGCTTTGTGACTTACTTTGTTCTGGCTGTTATTACTTGAAATCACTTAAATCCTACTTTTTATACTTAATAAAATCACTTTTGTTTATTAATAAACCCAGAGTAAGTGATTAATACCAGGGCGAGCAAACCGCTGTGCATCTCTCTCTATCAGTGTTATAAAGGGTGGACAATTTATGAGTTTACCCTGTGTAAGCTTTATACAAAGTAAAATGGATGTATTTGGGGTTTGGATCCCATTGGGAACTAGATGATTTGCTGTGCAGTTTTCAGTTAAGTCTGAAACTTTGGGGGCTTAGACCAGACCCTGGGTCTGTGTTGCAGCAGGCTAGTGTGTCTGGCTCAACAAGACAGGATTCTGGAAGTCCCAAGTTGGCAGGGAAAATGGGCTCAGAGGTAATTCCAGCACATCAGGTGACAGTCACAAGGGGGTCTCTGTGACCAAACCCATCACATATGGGACTAAGGATGGAACAACATGGATCACTGTAAACTCAGGAGGGCCAAATGAACCTAAAAACCCCCTGAAACAAGCAAACAAAAAGCAAGGCAAGGCATTACCACACTTGCATTGTATTGATTTCCTAATTTATACAGATTAATAATAAAAACCTTCCACAAAGTAATGTCTGTATGTAATTTGGATTTATACAACCTTGTTTCCATCTAGAAGCCAGCAGTTTTATGTTAAGAACAAAATATGGTTTTAGAATGGCATCTTTATGCTCTAGGCATTTCAAAGTACAAACAACAAAGTTAGTAATAATGAATGTATAAATAAAGTGGTTATTAAGCAGTCAGCACAGCTCATGAATATTGGAATGAGAGGGACAGAGAAAGACTGGCTACACAATGGTGTTTTCTCTTATTAAATTTCAAAATTATCATAGGATTCTCAACTTTCATCTGGACAGTCACCAGAAACAGGCAGAAAAGGGAACCCAGTGTCTCCTTGAAAGGATTCTACTTTTAACAGTACAGCACTCCCCCTTGTTCTCAAATGCTGAAATGCTGTGTCAACATCAGGAAGAGACCAAATCCTGCTCTGGTATTTGAACCCCTGAGCTTCGGGCTCAGAGACAAAAATGTTGCTACTATAAATGAGTCAAATTAATTCAACAACAAACATTCTTCTGTGGGATATTATTACCTTGAAAGTTAAGGATAATCCCAGTCAAGTAACTTTTTTCTGCAAGTCTTGAGACGTTGAAACCAACACCAGATTTTATCAACATAATTGAAGTGGAGTATCGGATGAGTGCATTAATGACTGATTTTGTTTCTTTCTCTGTTAAATGTCTACTGCATTTCAATAAGCATCAGGACAGGAGTTGAAGGTGTAGTCTGTATTTCTTTGTATGGGTCAAATTTTGAGGCCAGTGAAGCACGGGGCTACAAGTTTTCCTGGTTCTGGAGAGAAGTAACAGAGGAAACAATGTGATAACCTATGCTTTATTCAGGGACAAAAGTCTGTGGAGAAAAAAGATTCTCAGAAACAGAAAGGCAATGTGGCTAATGAATAAGGCACACTGGCATGGGAGTCTGGAAACCTAGATTCCAATTCTGGCCCTACCAGTGACCTTGGACAAGTCATTTCACCTTTTTGTGCCTCTGTTTTCCTTCTTGGACTTTGTCTCATCTATTTAGACCAGTAGTTTTCAACCTGTGATCCACAGACCTCTGGGGGGCCCACAGACTATAGCTAAGATTTCCAAAGGGTTCTGCACCCTCCATTTGAAATATTTTAGGGGTCCACAAATGAAAAAACGTTGAAAACCACTGATTTGGAGTGTAAACTCTTCAGAGCAAGGTCACCTCTTTCTGTGTGTTTGTACAAAGTCAGGAACAAAGGAGCCTTGATCCATAAGAACAAAAGAATGGCCATATTGGGTCAGACCAAAGGTCCATCTAGCCCAGTATCCTGTCTTCCAACAGTGGCCAGTGAGATGTGCCCCAGAGGGAATGAACAGAACAGGTAGTCATCAAGTGATCCATCCCCTGTCACCCAGCTTCTGACAAACAGAGGCTAGGGACACAATCCCTGTCCATCCTGGCTAATCGCCATTGATGGACCTATCCTTCATGAATTTACCTAGTTCTTTTGTGAACCCTTTTATAGTCTTGGCCTTCACAACATCCTCTGGTAAAGAGTTCCATAGGCTGACTATGCTATGTGCTGCTATTAATTTCATTTGGTGACCCCTAGTTCTTGTGTTACGAGAAGCAGTAAATAACACTTCCCTATTACTTTCTACATTTCTGATTTTATAGACCTCTATCATATCCTCTTTTAGTAATCTCTTTTCCAAGCTGAAAAGTCCCAATCTTATTAATCTTTCCTCATACAGAAGCTGTTCCATACCCCTAATCATTCTGTTGTCTTTTTCTGAACCTTTTCCAATCCCAATATCTCTTTTTTTGAGATGGGGTGACCACATCTGCATACAGTAGTCAAAATTTATATAGAAGCAATATGATATTTTCTGTATAATTATCTATCCCTTTCTTAATGATTCCCAACATTCTGTTTGCTTTTTTGACTGCCGCTGCAGCATTGAGTGGATGTTTTCAGAGAACTATCCACAAAGACTCCAAGATCTCCTCCTTGAGTGGCAACAGCTAATTTAGACCCCATCATTTTATATGTATAATTGGGATTATGTTTTCCAATGTGCATTACTTTGCATTTATCAACATTGAATTTCATCTGTCATTTTGTTGCCCAGTCACCCAGTTTTGTGAGATCATTTTGTAGCTCTTCGCAGTCTGCCTGGGACTTAATTATCTAGAGTAGTTTTGTATCATCTGCAAATTTTGCCATCTCACTTTTTCCCCCTTTTTCCAGATCATTTATGAATATGTTGAATAGGACTGGTCCCAGTACAGACGTTTGGGGGACTCCACTATTTACCTCTCTCCATTGTGAAAACTGACCATTTATTCCTACCCTTTGTTCCCTGTCTTTTAACCAGTTACCAATCCATGAGAGCACCTTCCCTCTTATCCCATGACAGCTTACTTTGCTTAAGAGCCTTTGATGAGGGACCTTGTCAAAGGCTTTCTGAAAATCTAAGTACACTATATCCATTAGATTCCCCTTGTCCACATGCTTGTTGACCCCCTCAAAGAATTCTAGTAGATTGGTGAGGCATGATTTCCCTTTACAAAAACCATGTTGACTCTTCCCCAACAAATTATGTTCACCTATGTGTCTGACAATTTTGTTCTTTACTATAGTTTCAACCAGTTTGCCCGATACTGAAGTCAGGTTTACCGACCTGTAAATGCTGGGATCATCTCTGGAACCCTTTTTTAAAAATTGGCATCACATTAGCTATCCTCCAGACATTTGGTACAGAAGCTGATTTAAAAGATGTTTATCTCCCCCTTCCCCCCCCCCCCCCCAGCTGTTCCTCAGATGTTCTTGTCAACTGCTGGAAATGGCCCACCTTGATTATCACTACAAAAGTTTCCCCCCCCACCCCCACTCTCCTGCTGGTAATAGCTCACCTTACCTGATTATTCTCCTTACAGTATGTATGGTAACACCCATTGTTTCATGCTCTCTGTGTATATAAATCTCCCCACTGTATTTTCCACTGAATGCATCCGATGAAGTGAGCTGTAGCTCATGAAAGTTTATGCTCAAATAAATTTGTTAGTCTCTAAGATGCCACAAGTCCTCCTTTTCTTTTTGCAGACTACAGTTAGTAGTTCTGCAATTTCACATTTGAGTTCCTTCAGAACTCTTAGGTGAATACCATCTGGACCTGATGACTTATTACTGTTTATCAATTGGTTCCCAAACCTCCTCTAATGACACCTCAATCTGAGACAGTTCCTCAGATTTGTATTTAAGAAGAATGGCTCACATCCTCATCCATTAAGACTGATGCAAAGAATTCATTTATTTTCTCTGCAATGGCCTTATCGTCCCTGAGTGCTCCTTTAGCATATCGATCGTCCAGTGGCCCCACTGGTTGTTTAGCAGGCTTCCTGCTTCTGATGTACTTTAAAAAAATGCTGTTACTTTTTGAGTCTTTGGCTAGCTGTTCTTCAAATTCTTTTTTGGCCTTTCTAATTCTGTTTTTACACTTCACTTGCCAGAGTTTATGCTCCTTTCTATTTTCCTCACTAGGATTTTACTTTCACATTTTAAAAGATGCTTTTTGCCTCTCACTGCTTCTTTTACTTTGTTGTTTAGCCATGGTGGCACTTTTTGGTTCTCTTACTATGTTTTTTAATTTGGGGTATACATGTAAGTTAAGCCTCTATTAGGTTGTCTTTACAAAGTTTCCATGCAGCTTGCAAGGATTTCACTTTTGGCACTGTACCCTTTAATTTCTATTTAACTAACTTCCTTATTTTTGTGTAGTTCCCCTTTCTGAAATTAAAACTACTGTGTTGGACTTCTGTGGTATTTTTCCCGCCACAGGGATATTAAATTTACTTATACTATGGTCACTATTACCAAGATGTCCAGCTATATTCACCTTTTGGACCAGATCCTGTACTCCATTTAGGACTAATCTAGAATTGCTTCTCCTTTTGTGGGTTCCGGGATTAGCTGCTCCAAGAAGCAGTCATTTAAGGTGTCAAGAAACTTTATCTCTGCATCTCATCCATGTACATGAGGTGACATGTACCCAGTCACTATGGGGATAGTTGAAATTCCCCATTGTTACTGAGTTTTTTATTTTTATAGTCTCTCTAATCTCCCTGAGCATTTCACAGTCACTATCACCATCCTGGTCAGGTAGTCAGTAGTATATCGCTACTGCTATATTCTTATTATTTGAGCATGAAGTTACTATCCATACAGATTCTATGGTACAGTTTGGTTCATTTAAAATTTTTACTTCATTTGCTTCTACACTTTCTGCCACATATAGTGACACTCCCCAACCAGCATGACCTGTTGTGTCCTCCTGATATATTTTGTACCCTGGTATTACTGTGTTCCATGATTAGATACAAATCAGTAGTAACAGTGACAGGTTTCAGAGTAACAGCCGTGTTAGTCTGTATTTGCAAAAAGAAAAGGAGTACTTGTGGCACCTTAGAGACTAACCAATTTATTTGAGCATGAGCTTTCGTGAGCTTTCGTGAATCTGGTCCACAAGTACTCCTTTTCTTTTTAGTAACAGTTAGTAACCTGTTCCTGAAACGGATTGCATTGTGTTATCTCCAACAGGACTAAAAATACTGGGTAGAAACATTTAAATAAATATTTGCAGATTTCAGGGTAGATTTTTGACACTCAATGTGGAATACCTTCTTCTCAAAGGTATCACATTTAAAATAGCAAAATGAAAAAACAAACAAACATGGAATTGCAGTAATTTGTTACCTATTTGATATTGCCTCTGTCAAGGTTCCTCCCCCACTCTGAACTCTAGGGTACAGATGTGGGGACCTGCATGAAAAACCTCCTAAGCTTATCTTTACCAGCTTAGGTCAAAACTTCCCCAAGGTACAAAATATTCCACCCTTTGTCCTTGGATTGGCCGCTACCACCACCAAACTAATACTGGTTACTGGGGAAGAGTGGTTTGGACATGTCTTTCCCCCCAAAATACTTCCCAAAACCTTGCACTCCACTTCCTGGACAAGGTTTGGTAAAAAGCCTCACCAATTTGCCTAGGTGACTACAGACCCAGACCCTTGGATCTTAAGAACAATGAACAATCCTCCCAACACTTGCACCCCCCCTTTCCTGGGAGATGTTGGATAAAAAGCCTCACCAATTTGCATAGGTGACCACAGACCCAAACCCTTGGATCTGAGAACAATGAAAAAGCATTCAGTTTTCTTACAAGAAGACTTTTAATAAAAATAGAAGTAAATAGAAATAAAGAAATCCCCCCTGTAAAATCAGGATGGTAGAGACCTTACAGGGTAATTAGATTCAAAACATAGAGAACCCCTCTAAGCAAAACCTTAAGTTACAAAAAAGATACACAGACAGAAATAGTTATTCTATTCAGCACAGTTCTTTACTCAGCCATTTAAAGAAATCATAATCTAACATGTACCTAGCTAGATTACTTACTAAAAGTTCTAAGACTCAATTCCTGGTCTATCCCTGGCCAAGACAGAATATAGACAGACACACAGACCCTTTGTTTCTCTCCCTCCTCCCAGCTTTTGAAAGTATCTTGTCTCCTCATTGGTCATTTTGGTCAGGTGCCAGCGAGGTTACCTTTAGCTTCTTAACCCTTTACAGGTGAGAGGAGCTTTCCCCTGGCCAGGAGGGATTTCAAAGGGGTTTACCCTTCCCTTTATATTTATGACAGCCTCAAAAGTTAAATACTTTACATAGTACAAAAAAACAGATATATATATATACAATTTCTATTGTACTTGCTATAAAAAAGTGGAAATTTATTTTCACATATTCCATTTTATTTACATTCTGTTTGTCTAGCTTGATACATTAATTCATGAACAGTTGACTTTTAAACAGCTACTTGCCACCATTTCATTAAAGCCTATGCAATGTCTGCATTCTCTGGTTCATATTTTCTATTTACGATAATGTGAGATGAACTTACCTCCAATATCTGGCCGAAGTTTACTGTCATAGCCTTGAAGTAAGGAATCCAGTATGTGAGTGACATCTCCACCATGTATCTTTGGTGCAAGTACCCATGTTTTGTTCACTGTTAGATCTTCATCATCCTCATCATCTGCTTTATCAGCACTAAGGGTGGTTCAATGAAACATGAGGGAAGAAAAACAGTGAAACAAAATACACTCTGCAGGAAGAATGAAATGACAAAAAGAGTAAACATGGTAACCTAATTATTATGTAGAATAAAGATTTGAACATATTCTGATGCCAGCACATAGTTACACCTAATTGATATATTTTATTGCTTATTTTTTTCGGCAGCAGAGAGCACCTAGTATCTCATCCACCTGAGAAATGTGTCAAGAAGAGAGTTTGCCATTCAGATACAATAACTCAGATCACAAATAGAGTGAAGTTGAATGAAATCTTGACAGCAATTTTACCTTTATTTTGAGCTTTTTCTTAAGCTTTTCCCAATTCAATAGCTGTATTTAAATCACTATGTTAATTTTTCTAAGGGATGGTGAATCATGAGAGTAGGTGTCCCTCAGAAATCAAAACCATCACCTTAATGTCTCCAACTCTCCTAGTGCCCAGTGACGAGATTCCCAAACCAAGATTTCCCATACGGTAATACTTTGTTCTAGCCTCAGAATATTCTAAAACAGAACACATTTATTTTACTTAGTCCAAACAATGAGCAAGGATTCCTAATGTATGCATTCTTTTATGACTAAATGTTCATAGTTAGGAGCTAAAAGTTGTGTGTCATTAGTTTATTTACATTTAAACAGACAGCAGCAAGAGTGCTATATTATTCCTTTTAGTTCAAATTATTTGTTATCAGGACATTTTATTAAGATGGAAGAAATACACAAGGAAAACAATTACATGCCCATTTATTATCTACCTTTCAATTAGATAAGAAGCCATTTATAATTTATCACTGATTCAGAAGAAAAATGGTAGTGGCTTAAATGTGTGTCTATAGATCCACTCAGATGATCTCCAAAACACCAGCGAATGCCTGGAAGTAATTTTCATCTCCATTTGAATCAAATGAGTGTGGACTTAAATATTTCTCCATTGCTAATGTTTGCAATCTACGTTACTCATCCCCAAGGAAATTGCTGTGGGCTTCTAATCAAAGTGCATCAAACTGATAGTAGTAACTATGCAGTGTTGTTGTAGCCATGTTGATCCTAAGATATTAGAGAGACAAGGTGGGTGAAGTAATACCTTTTATTGGAAGAGCTCTGTGTAAGCTTGAAAGTTTGTCTCGCTTATCAACAGAAATTGGTTCAATAAAACATATTACCGCACCCACCTTGTCTCAGCAGTAACTATGGGAGTCATACAGTGTACCTTGACAAAGAGACAATGGCTAGCATTAATTATAATACAGCATATGGAACCCATAAAAGTCATAGTTTCAATGCTAAGATAAGCAAAGGTATTTAGGCAACAGAAAGGAGTTATATTATTATCCTTGGAAGAAGTTGCACATCAATACTGTTTAAAAAAATTACTGCTTTCCATTGTACTCTGAGGGTAAGATTTTTCAGAAGTGCCTAAGAGTGCATCTACAATGCATTTTAAAACCCATGGAAGCAAGTCTCAGAGACCAGGCCTTCAGACATGGGTTCATGGGGTTTTTGTCAACAGAGTTGACCTTACAGTTTGGGCTGGAGCTCAGTCTCTGAAACCCACCACGCTGCCTGAGCTTCCAAGCCAGAGCTCCAGCCCAAGCCTGAAATCTACACAGCTGTTTTTAATATTGAGGCAGGGGCCTTTACGCCCAAGCTCTGAGAGTCATTGCTGCAGGTTTTAAAAGGTAGCGCAGATATATCCTAGTGACTAATGATCACAAGCGTCACTGAAAGTCACTTAGGTGATTTGGAAAATCCCATATTTAGTTTTAAAACATTTTACTTTTCTATAGTGAATTAATGCCATTAAGATGTGTTATTATAAATGATGACCAACAGATTACAAAAGTCAATGCATATTTTTAATCATTAAAGGGAATTTTCGAAGTTCATAAGTCCTAAATGTCTAAACTAACTTAAAAGTATTCTGCACATATAAATCAAGTCCTCTTGATTATATTCCATCAAAATAGAATCAAAAAGAAAAAGTTCTACATGGAGAGAACATTAAGCCTATAGAGTCAAGTATCCAAACAAGTCAGGAAATGACACTGCAAGAATATGAATGCTCAGACTTAACTCTGCTCCTTTGTATAGATATCCCAAATTAGTCTTTAATCAGACGATCTCCTACCATTTCTCAAAATACATAATTAGGGCTGGTTGAAAAAATTCTATCAAAACTGTTTTTTCCAATTGAAAATTGGGATTAAAACTAAACTATATTTTTTTCACAGAAAGTGTTGGCTTTCGGACGATGATTAATGTTAGCTTGGTTCCGTGTCTCACTTTGGGAGGCGGAAAGACCTTTTTGCTCATTTAGTGCCCCTAGAGGGAAGACTGGGCTGCTAGGGCTATGTGCTGGATGTCCAGGTGGTCAGGGGGAGCCCCGCACTGCTCTCTTCTCCTCCCTCTCCCTGCTACAACTACTGTGGCTGCTCAGTCTGTTCCTGGGGGGTCCCACTTCAGTACATGTTGCTGCTGCGGTTGTGAGGACAAGGCCATAGAATGTTCATGGTGTTTGGCTTGCTGCCAAAATTAAGCAGGCACAAGAGGGAAATTGCTATTTTCAGTGGTTTAGAATTGAGCCACAGCTGAATGGATTTTCATGGAATGAGCAAAAGGCACCTCTCTGATCTCAACGCTTGCCTCCTGGGAAAAATCAAAAGGCCTACAGCAAACAACAGAGGTGTTAATAACTATGCAAAAAGTTGTAAGAATCTTTTATAATAGAAAGTGTTAGGCAACCTAGATACAGGGGTCACTGCCAGCCCCCCCTGCAATAGTGTGGAAATCACTTAAGTGTTATGCAATGCCTTTCAAGTCTAAGGAACTAAACATCTCTATAGTACTGTACAGACATTATACAATATCAGCTATTAATTATTTAAAGATTCCCATTAGTGGAATTCCATACCGAACACTAAAATGAATAATAACAGAAGTCTCACAACTGTACATGCATCTTTTCAGAACTACCAACTGCTATTATTTTATGTTTTGTCCCTGTTTATACCAGCTTGGTTACTCTAATCACTGCTTAAATTTAGTAAAAGTATAGGGGCTCTGTACTCTCTTTGCTTTTCCCATTGAGGATAATGAGTAGTTAGACTGAATTTACAACAAATGTACATTGGATGGAGATATCACTGCTGTGGAGCAGGCCTTTTCTTCTTTTTTTATTTAAAGGTTCCAGCCCTGCAAATATGACTCCGTGCAGACAGAACCTACACCTACCAATGACTCAAAACCAGCAGGGCTCCATGCAGGTGCAGGGATCTGCTCAAGTGGAGCCACTTTAAGCATCAGTGCTTTTTCATTAAATTCTGAAGGAAGAGATGATGTGAATGGGATCATGTCCCCTTTTAGTGACCTTCCCACACCAATGTTAAGAGCCACCGACTCATAGCTAAAGGAGTTATATCTTTAGGTCAAGTGGTAAGGATATAACCAAAAGGTCTGACTGATTCTAGCACTTTTCTAAATTATAGTACTTTGATGTACTCTGCCATAGACTCACCTCTTTTATACATTAAACACAGGATAGAATATATTTTTTTTTATTATTTCACTATCCCCCCAACCAATGGGAACATTCCCTCCCCTCAACTTTCAAAACTCTATATTACAAATACAAATATAACTTTTTATAAGCTACTAACATCAACATTCATCAGTAATATGGTACTAGGAAAACAGATGGAAGAATTCCATCCTGGCATCCTTCAGTTTTTTCAAATTCACTTAAATAAGTCCAATGAGTATGATTCTTATTAGATGTCACATTTCTTATTTTGATTATTGGTCCAGGGTCTATATTTTAAAAACGCTCAATACTCGCCCTACCCAATGGCAAGGAAGGGGTATTTTTGTTCATTTTCTTGGGTGGCTATATTTTTTCTATGGCATAGAGGTGAAACTGTTGAATTAAAGGCTGTAGCTTGAATATCTGGCAAGGGCAGACTTCGGATAGAAACCTTTTTATTACTGTGCCATAATAAAAATAAATTATTGAATACTCATGTATATTAAAGCCACCCTTCACTCCCATCTTCTGCCACAATCCTTACTACTAGAACTCTACCCATTCCTAAAACAATGGAGGGAGGACAATTTTACTTTTTTATGTATATTTATTTTCTTCCAGTTTTAGTCACAGAACATTTCAGTACTTCCACTGCATGACATCTCTTTCCTCCTATGTATTACTGTAAGTGTAAAGTAATGGAAAAGAAATATGATTTGTCTCAACAAGATCCACTCTCTATGCAGCCTTTGGAGAATGTTTGTAGGCACTAAGATTAAGAATGAATTTGATAGACTGTCAAACATTAAAAATGTACTGTTCCCTGGCACTACACTAATTATCACCCATTATACTTCAGATGCTGAGTTTGACTTAACTATGAATTCTTTTAAAATAAAAATAAACTTGAAGGAGCATAAATAAGTCTTGCCATAAATAAAAAGTAATTTCATTTCTAAACAGAGGTTTTTATTACAGTGGCTATGATGATAAACTGAACAGTAACTACGTATATATGGTTAACTGTAATTAGATAAAAAGTGCCCTAATTATGCTTATACCCTCCAACTAATTAGAGACATTACCATGACTAATAAATCCCTGAGCATAAGTGACTAATGACTGAGTAAGTCTTTTCAGCATCAGGCAGCATGTTCATCTTTAGACTTTAATATCATAGGTCTTTGTTCTACTTTTAATATGAGGGGAAATAATCAGATGAGCTTTAAGTTGTAATTAACATTTGTCAGGTTATGCAATGAATTATAAAAAATAGAGCAGTGATATTGCTCCTTCTGCCAGATGCAGCATAAGTAAGGTTAGGTACCATACCAGGGATTATATGCACCCTATAGATGTAAGTGCCTAAACGCAATCAATGACCATAAAGATTAAACGTTTTAGATAAAGTGACCTTAGAGTTTTCATAAATGAATTAAATGATTAATTGTGGT